CCCTCCTCCCCCCAAATAAAGATAAGATTGTAATTAATAAATACTATAACAAAGTCAGGAAAACAAATCTTTACCCAGAGATTGTAAGGATGTGGATCCAACAACCACATGGAAGGATTGAGATTAATAGTATCGATGTGTTTAAAGGGAAATTTACAGAAGTACATGAGGCAGAGAAAAATAACTGGATAGGTTGTAAGTTCAGGTGGTAAAAGGCTGGTGGGGAGAATAAACACTACCATGGAACTGTTGGTCTGAATGACCTACTTCTGGACTGTAAAATTCTCTGCAATGTTTATTTTACCAGCACTAATATTCCTCCCTTTTTAATAAACATAAGTTTTCTGTACCTGTAGTTTTTTAAAAAGATGTGCAAAACGAGCAAGGGATGATGTGGGAATAAAACTTTTTCACTCAACAAGTAGTTGTGGTGTGGAATACACTGCCTGGGAGTGTGGTGGATGCAAGTTCAACTGAGACATTCAGGAGGACATTGGATGATTATTTGGATAAAAGTAATCTGCAAAGGTTTGAAGAGTTGGTGCAGGCACAGTTGGCCAAATGGCCTCTTCCTGCGCAATAACAGTTCTGATTCTGTCCAAACCTGCAAAGTTTGAGGTATTTTCCAATAGTGTTCATCTTTTAAACAGTTCCTTATTTGATTGCACTTTCCGCTATTTGTTGCTAATATTGTGTCCAGTTGAATTTGGCTGTGATTTGTGATTATTCTTTACAGATTCACCACATCAATGCAAACTACTTCCTGGATATCACTTCAATGAAACCTGAAGAGGTGGACAAGAGTCTATTCACTAGTTCATCACACTTTGAAGATCTCTCAGCTACAGCTTATGTTACATTTTTGAAGGAAGGGCTTGAAATTGCCAAACGGTTTGCACCATTTTAATTTAATGGAAATCCAGCTGAATGAAACAGGTCCTCCCTCCATTGTCAGTTTCAGCTGTTTTGTTATTCGGGTTTTTCACTTTGCACAGAGAATAAAATTGCCTCCATTCCCAAAGCCTCATTGAGGAGGGTATCTACTTGTTAGTTCCTCAAGAAAACAGCTTCTGTTGACAAAGTGTTTGTGATGTGGGGGATGACTGTGTGTGTGTAAGTGTGTTCTGACCTGTTCCTCTACTGCTCCTCATCCCCCTGAATATGATTGTGTATTGATTATTGAGAAAGAACTGTTTCCTTGGATATTGGTGGGGATGAAGGAGGAAGCAAGTGACCAGTTCTGAACCATAGCTAGTTATTTCTTGAGTGTTATTGGAGTCTGATTTGGGAATATGTCACTATTAGCAAGGATGGCTTTTTTAAAGGTATTGTCTAATATGCTTGCCACTACCACACATGGAAATCTGACACAGACATGTGACAAATTGATGCTGTTCAGCAAGTGAGAAACTGTCACAGTTCTGTGTAAAAAGCATTACTTAGCCCCATTCACCTTTTACAGTTGTTTTGCAGTTTTATTTTAAAGTCACTTCCTTCTTGAAAGATATTACTAATTTTGTTTCTGAAGATTACGGAATCCCTGATAAGATGTCACCATCAGAAAATATTTCTCTTCATCTCTCCCTCATTCATTTGAAAATAATCTTAAATTTGTGCCCTAAAATAAAGATAGGGAAAATGTTGCTTCCTATTTTATTCATTTTAATTTATTCATTTATCTCTTCACTATAACAATTTTGAAAACCTCTATTTACACTTCTCCAAGTTTCTGTCCTGATAAGAAAATACCAAAAATCTCCATAGAATCACAGCTAAAAAACCATCAGCCCATCTTGTCTGTACGGGCTCTCCAAATGTGCCATCCACCATCCGTATTCTGCCTTCTCCCCTTACACTGCACCATTCTGCGTAACAGACTGATTCTCTTTTAAACATTTAATGGACCCTGCCTCTACATTACCACGGTCTCAGTGCATTCCAGACTTTAGCCACCCACTGTATGAAAAAGATTTTTTCTTTGCTTCTTTGACAAATTACTTCAAATACGTTTCCTCTCATACTCGAACCTTTCAAGGATGGGAACAGTTTCTTCCTGTTTGCTCTGTCCAGACCCCTTTATGATTTTGAAAAACTTGATTAAATCTGCTCTCAGCCTTTTTTCTATCAGGAAAACAGGCCTGACTCCTCCAATCTGTCTTCAAAGCGGAGGTTCCTCATTCCTGGAACTATTCCATAATAGATGTTTATGCATGTTTTCTTTAAGCAAGTGACTGAATGTTTAGAATTTTCTGCTGGAGGGAAGCTGAGTTTCTGAGGAGGGTCTGCCGCTTTTAAGAGTCAGGTTACCCATCCCCCACCCCAAGGCCAGAAACAACATTTCACAGCAACCTCCAGTTTCCTGTGCTAACTTTAAACTGTTAATGTGACTTCACTGGTAGGAGGAGGATCTTGTGAGTATTTAGAATCCTGCAGATACAAAGTTTCAGAAGCTTGCTGTGTGCATAAGTGACGGTGCCTTTGTCCTGAAGGATGTTAACTTGCTGTATAAAAACTGCCACTTTCGACTTTCAAACTCTCGTGTTACTTTACAAACCCTGTAAAAGCTTTAAATATTGAAAGATAAATTATATGAAGAAAAGCTGTATTCGCCAGGAGGGATTTTCTGCAATAAGAGGACACACTTGAGATATTTGGTCAAGGAACCAGACGAAAAATTAATTGTTTTAATATAGGGACTTTTAAAAAAGTGATCTGAAATACTTCCTGAGGTAGAACAGGCTTAATGATAGCTTCCAAGAGGAGATTAGCTATATGTTGAAAAGGATATGGTAGCAGGGTTCTGGGAAAAGGTTATTGGGAGTGAGGCTATCTGAACATCTGTTTTTACACGCACTGTTATTACATAGTCTGCCATTTCACACTATCTATTGTTTGCTGCTGACAGTCTCCAGTAAACAGCTATTCACTCTTCTAACCAGATTATTATCCACTCCTTTGTCCAACTGTTTTTTCTCTCTTTGGGCTCTATCCCCACCTATCGTTCACAGTTTACCTACTCCCCCTCCACCCGACTTCTGCATACACAGTGACATTTTCCTAGCTAGCTACCATCAGTTCTGAGGAAGGGTCACCAGACCTGAAACATTAATTGTGATTTCTCTTCACAGATGCTGCCTGAGCTTTTCTAACAACTTCTGTTTTTTGTTTCTGATTTACAGCATCCACAGTTCTTTGTTTTTTTTAAGCTGTTTTCACACTGCTGTCTCGAGTATGATGAACAGAATGGCCTGTACCGTTATTGGTTTGCATTGCTACACATAGTATGATTTAATCACCTTTGCTTAAAAACATTTGAATAGCTAGATGGAAGATGATGTTGGCTCTTCAAGTTCACCTCCTACTTTACAGCGGAGCTGTGGATGATCAGAGAGATTCTTGATCGGTAGGCAAATTAAGGACTACAGGCAAAGGACAGGAAAGTGGATATGAGAAATGTCAGATCAGCCATGATCCTATTGAATGGGGGAAGCAGGCTTGACCAGCCAAATGTCCTATTGTTCTTATTTCTTTCAGTCTTATAACAATCAGTCTGTATCAATTAGCCCCAGATTTGAAGTGAGAAAAATCCAAGAGGTTTTGAAACCCAAGTCCAATGTTTGTGTTTCTCCCGAACCTGCTGCATCTGTATGTCATGTCTCATTATTATATACAGTGTCCCACAATGCTGTTTCTTCATTAACTATTTCCACCAGCTCTCTAGTGCATTCATATTGTTAAAACATGAAAATGTCAAGCATGATGAAATAACACGTTTTGAGTGATTGGCTGCCAGCTGTGTTAATTTACTTACATGACGGTTATTTACATTCATTTAGATGATAGTCAGCTATTTTATCCAAAAATATTGTCAAACATCAGCGTGCATTCCTTAATGTAAGTACATGGTTCACTTTTCCTCTAACAAGCCAAATCCCAGGACCAGCCCATCAGCTATTAATGTGGGGTTATGAAAGCAGGAGAGCAAGAGATAGACATCACTGTTATGGGAATGCATGAATAAGCGTACAGATAAAATGCTGTCGGTCTTGATAATTTTTAAGAACTATTTTCTTAAAACAAATGTCAGTGCATCAAGCCATTGGTGATGCCCTCTGTGATATGTGCTTCAAATAACTTGTGTATGTTCCAGGTGAAATCTGACCATTCATTTGCTGGACCTATGCAAAGTGTTGTGGTTTGTTTTTGTAATTAAAGTTCTATTTTGTCAACACTACTAAATCTGTATAGTAGTAAGAAAGCAGATCAAATATAGTAGGTCATTGACTTTTTATACTTATTTCTGTTTTTATATATTTACAGCCTGGATTCTAATCAGCATTATTTTTATACTTGTGGTGACACTGTGTTAAAATTATGGCTGTGGGAAAAATCAAGGCCTGTTTGTAACAAATAAGAGTGATGGAGGGTGGCAAGAATGGTTTTTGTTGTCTAAAGAACTGCATTTTGTGAAGGCTGAACCCCAAAGCCTGGGAAAGGACTGGGTTCTGCCCGATGTTATGTTAGTTGTTTAGAAATGATTGCCTCATCCTACCCTCCTTGAATCACTCTTGCTTCCTGGTCTTAATTTTATTACATTGTTCATAAATCTCCCACATTGGTTTGCATTGATTGGGCAAAACAGACAACAGACAATGACAAAACAGTCATTAGAGGTCAATTATTGCATTGAAAAATGTATAAGGCTTGGCAATTTAAGACTTATCTTTTGCAATTCATTCAGGGGGCTGGTTCCATTTGTACTATCCTGTCTCAGCAGTCTGGTGCCAAATTTAGTGTATGCAACATGTTTGAGAACATAACTAGCCATTTAGATGTATATTGTGATCCAGGGATCTGTGCAGTTTTTCTTCCTGCTTAAAAACCTGAAGTACTAGAAATTGCATTGTTATTTTGCTGTGTAAAATATCTCACCTCCACCTCCCATTGGATGGGATACAGGTTGTGTTTTATAGGTGAGTGGTGATCAGGATCTTGACAGCCCATGAATTGTAAATTGTATTGAAGCCTAAAGCATCTTGCATCTTCCTACCAATTGACAGTTTTCTAATTTTCTCTTGAGCTGTGAACTGCAGTTAGCACTAACAGTTAATAGCTGACTTCCAGCTTTATACAACTCCTTTCTATTACCAAGGCTTTTGGTTCTTCTAAATACAAAAGTTTTGACCCATTTTTTAAAAATCTAGTTATTTCTTATGTTGAATAGGCAAGCATGACACTTGGTATTTGTAATTTTTTTTTTCTAAATAAAAACAGTTTAAGAATTGTTGTTTTTGTCGATTTGGGGGAGTGTTAGAATTCTAGTACAATAAAATTTACTTACAGCATGGTAGCAGAGTTCAAGTATCAGCATTCAGAAAGTGGTGGAATACTTAAGGTTGTTTTATATTCTTATCTTTCTTCCTCTCTTTTGCCCCCCCCCCCAGCAGCTGAGATCAGGACAGTTATTAAAATGGATTTGCCCTAGGATGTTTAAGAATGCTAATAGTTTATTTTTATTTCAGGAACATCTATGATTCATAAAATTAAAAGCAGTGACATGTTTTGAAATGTCACGACAATTAACATTGTTCTTCACCATTATAGCAAGATTTTTAATGAATTTTTAACATGAACTTAAGCAAATAGCTTCATATGTATAGATATATACACAAACATGAACAATAAATATTTGATCCTCAAAGCATACATTCCAGTTTTGAAGTTAGCAGCATAAAATTTAAGGCCATATAATAAACATGCATTCACACCAATATGTGCGCAGGTTGATACAAAAAAAAAGCACTTGGTGCTAGATTGGTCTGGAACATGGCTGACATAATTCACTTGTATTGTGAGTCGGTAGATTTGTTTGCCCCCATACTTGGATTGTCAGAATTGCACAAGTAGATTTAAATGGATATGTTGGAATAGTTTAGCAGCAAGATAGTAATTAATGAATACTATTCATGACTACACCTCACTTACATTGGCAATGCACTAGTGTCTAAAGTGGCTCTGAAAAAAAATACAATTTAAAGGGAGCCTTGGGCTACAAAGCTTCACTGCTCTCAGATTAGCAACTGTTGTTACAGCTCATGCAAGCTTCCTTAAACTCAGGCCATGTCAGATATGATGCTGCACTTGTCTTGCTACAACTTTACACGCTGTCTCAGTACATGCATTAAATCAGTATTTAAGAATGTTGTTTAGATAGTGATCATGACTAGACAGTTATCAGAATGTCCACACTTCAAGATCCTGCACCTTGAAATCTTCATTTTTAGATAGTACAACGTTGTTGAATGTTTCACAAGGATTGCTTCTTCCATGATTGAGATCTTCATCCAGCCATAGACCAAAGTGTCCACTTAACACAAAAGAAAGAAAGAAAGAAAAAAAAAAAAAAAAAAATTTTCACAGGCATCCAACATTCTTTAAACAAAAAGTTCCTCAACGAACCAAGTTATCTGGCTGCATAGAAGTCTTGCTGATTTTGGGCACTGACTCAGTGTTTGTAATTCAGCAAGTGACAAGATAATTGTGCCAGTGTGATTTGATTTATTATTGTCAGGGTACAGTGAAAGAGTGTTGTCTTATATGTGCTTTACAGGCAGATCATACTATACAAGTGCATCAGGGTAACAGAAGAGTGCAGGAATAGAATAGATTCAGTATTGTGCTGTTTATAACAATTAACTATCCAAAGCCTCAAAAGATATCTAGTTATGGTTAGTGTTTAAAATGTTCTTGAAATATATATAAATCATTGAAAGAAAAGGCTAAAGCAAGAATTTATAGAAAGCAAAAAAAAAATCTCAATGTTGTATAAATATTTACAGTATAGAGGAAATAAAATGTGCAAAGAATCACAAAATACAACTTACTCATTCTGGAATTAGTTTTAAAATGTATGGATTTCGTTTGACTACAAATGTTAAAATCTCCCCCCTCCCAATCACCTGTAGGCATTTATTATAACTGAAAATTGTGTTCACAAAAAAATTGGAGAAGATTCTTATCTTTCATGAAAATGGAAAAATACCTTCCTCCTCCTATTGCAAGTGAGTCTGAACTTCCTTTTGTGAAGAAAGAATTATTTCCAGTCCATTGGAAGATCTGGGTGGTGGAAAGAGATGAATCAGAAACTTATTTGAGATGGAACCAGAGTCAGTCAGTCTGGCTTAAATAGCTGCTGAATCCCAGATTTATATTAGGATACTCAGAATGCAAAGAGGTAGTGCTAAACCTAGTTCATCATTAGTTAGTTTGAAAGAACAGTACTTTTAGTGCCTTTTAATGTAGATAGGCTATCAAATTCATGGACAAGTTGTACAAGAGAAATGCTGCTAACGTTTCTTCTTTTGAAGTGAGGTCCGAGTAGAAGAACAGGAACACTAAGGAGATGTATTAATTATGACAAAGCATTTCAGCGTTTTGACAAAGTAAATAAGCCTTGTTAGCAGGGCATGACATGAAATAAAAATGAAGAGCTGGAAATATGCAGGTTGCTCACCAGAAAAATCTCTTTCATGTAGACAGTGGTCAATACTTTGTCTTGTAAACAGAAGACAAAAATACCATTTCACTTAAGACATACCATAGTCTTACAGTAGAAGATTACAGTTAAAAGATGGAGCTCTCATCCTATCAGCAACACAAATATTCAGCAACTTGGCCTTCCCTGCTACAGTAACAAATAAAATTTGTCCTCCCTTGCCTCTTTCTTTCCCTCCACTTGATTCTGTTTGAAGAAAGAAAGAACATGGATCGAAATTTCCTTACTGTCCACATGGAACAAGAGTACAACAATGAAGTTTAAAAAAAATTGAAATTTGAGCTCATCCCAAATTCTGCGGCTTCCTGTTTGCACCACATCCTATTCACTTATCATTCATGATCAACAATCTACTTTGGTACCTACTTCACCAATACTTCAAATTTGGCCTCATTATCCCACTTTTTCTCAGCTCTCAGAGCCTCATGTTCCTCCCATCTAGGCCTCGTGCATCTTCTCACCATTTGCAGTAATCATTTCAACTGCCCAGATTCCAAGTTCTGGAATTCCCTTCCTAAACCTCTAACCAAACTTTTGATCACCTGTCTTCATATCTGCTTCTTTACATTGGTAGCAAATTTTTGACACTTCACTTCTAAACTACCTTGGGAATTTTTTCTTTCCTAGAGTAAAACAGGTATTACATAAAAAGGAAAAATTGTAGTAAGGCCCTTTTTACTATCACCAGTCTTGTGTTGCTATTAAAAGCAACTCCTCTATTTGAAGTGAAATTTTAAAGTCATGCTTTTTAAATTTTAGGACAGCTTCACAGATTCCAATCCCAATTTGAAGACATACACCATTTAGAGTCATAGAGATATACAGCATGGAAACAGACCCTTTGGTCCCACTTGTCCATGCCAACCAGATATCCTAAATTAATCGAGTCCCATTTACCAGCATTTGGCCCATATCCCTCTAAATGCTTCCTATTCATATACCCATCCAGGTGCCTTTAAAATGTAGTAATTGTACCAGCCTCCTCCACTTCATCTGGCAGTTCATTCCATACACACACCACCTTCTGCATGAAAAAGTTGCCCCTTAGGTGACTTTTAAATCTCTATCCTCTCACCTTTAACCTATGCCCTCTAGTTTTGGACTCCCCCAACCCAGGGAAAAGAAAGTAATAAAAGTCCTTTGCATCTGGGTGGTTTCAAACCACCAAGTATCTGGTTAACAGCCAAACGCACTAACATATTGCACCACAGATTTCATAAGGTATCATTCATAACACTATCAGAAAATATTATACATTCATTGTGATTTTTCATGGTATATTTATGTTCAGAGCAGTGGTACATAGAAAGCTTGGAGGTTGTCTAAGTACTTAGTCTCCATTTACACCCATGCGTGGTAACTAGAGAGCAGTGTGCTGTCTCAGTTCTCACCTAATAGCTGGAGCTGAAAACAGTGGGCTCAGTTGTAATATATTCTACAACACAACTGCCTAATGTGAACTAAAACTGACATAATTGCCATTAGGGAGTAGTGTCAGATGGCTGTCAGTGGCCTTTGGACCACACCCAGCAAAGTGAAAATATTGAAGGAGGATAAAGAGAAAGATTTATGTTTCCATTATTGTACACAATTAGTTCATAAAGATTTGGCTACTAGATCGCTCGAAACATACCTTAAAATCAGGATTAAAGGTGTATAGAAACGTTTCTCCTGTCCCATTGAAACGGTCACTTGGTCTTGGTGGATGAGAAGTTAAAGCACCAAATACCTGTAATTGACAAGATGGATAAGGAGTTGCTGCTAAGCCTTAGAAGTTTACATAAAATAATCCAACACCAATGACTCCTCCCTACCTGACCACACGTGTCCTTTAAAACCAGTAGTACTGGAGAGTCAGCATTGGCCACTTTGCGGTATAGGGTTTTCAGACTAAAGCCATGTAGGGATGTGCTGTATGCCAGTAGCCATGGATGCCCCACTGTTCTAGGTGGTAAGTATTTTGAAATCTAAAGAATCAATACAGGAGAACAATTTAAATATGGTCAATCCAACCAGGAAGTTAGCATAATGATCTTAGCTGTCATTAGTATAGAAAGTAATCCTTAACTTTTTTTTCCCCCCCGCCAAATCAGAGCCAATTATATATTTGTCAATATTCAGCTAGATCAGGAGTAAGTTTGTAGATTTTTTTACTGGGGAAGAATTGTCAATTTTGTCTCCAACATTCTTATTGCTTCTAAAAAGAGAGTTCCTTGGGAACCAAGCTAAAATGTATGTTTAGCTTGATCATCAGCTCTAGAGAATCTGAGAAGTTTAATCTTTAGTTTTGTCTCAAGTTATGCAGGATCCATGTATCAAGAACAAGTAGCACCAGCATGTGAAATCTGCCAGGGACTCAAGTTTGATACTTTTCCAAGATGTGGGATGAGCAAAATCAGGACCAGCATGCATCCTTTCACTACAGCACAATTGATGATTACAATTGGCTAGAAGGAATGTGGTTCAGGAGACATTGCCAATAAATTGTTGCCAGTTTAGTTTAAGGAAAGATTGTAGCAAGAACCAATTTACAGGAGAAGAGTAGCATGAACAACGAAGTCCAGAAAGAGATAGGAATGTCTTGCATAAATAGAAAGGAAAGAGGAATTACCTCACCTTGTCAATATGAAAAGGTTCCAGTAAGTTGCTTTTCCCCTGAAGGATAGGTGCCATATTCCCAAATTCTGAATCAAAGATTTCTTTGCAGTGTTTCATTGGGTCATCCTCCACAGATATAATCTGGAAATTATATTACGGGTGAAGAAAGTCAGTTCTAGAACACAGAATTGAACTATTACCTCTTTGCTGATCAACCCACATTTGATAACTTTGTTTTAAAAGAAAACAAAAACATTAAATCCAAACATGAGATTCCCAGGCAACTGCTAGCTACCCAATTAGAACTGGAGTAGGCCAAAACATTTGGAACAATGCAGAGATTTGTCCTGAGTGACCAACCAGCAAGGGCATCACTACTTGTATCACCATAAAGATTTAACATTCCCTGGAATTACCTTTCAACAGTATTGTGTGGCATATTTCCATCGTAAATCATTGAATGAAATAACTCACTTGTGAATCTGTCAGGCTGTAGTGTACATCTGGTTTTGATTAAAAAGCTTGTCTCAACTTTTTTTTGGGAGGGAGGGATGCAGAGATGAAATAGAGATGTATAGGCAGAAGGAAGAGGCACAGTGGTGTGATGATAAAGTCACTGGACTAGTAATCAAAAGCCTAACAGTGAGGGCATGGGTTCAAATCCAACTACAACAACTGGTGGAATTTGAATTAAAATTTAAAATGCTACAACTCAGAACTAACTCGTTAGTTCATTAACAGTGATCACAAAGTTATCATGATTGTTTACAATCATCTGGTCCACGTTAAAGGAAATATGCCAGCTCTACCAGGTTTGGCCTATATGGCTACTTCACACTCTTATCCATGTGACTGAGTCTTAATTGGCCCCTAAAATTGAGTAGCAATCAATCAATCAATCATCCAGTTCAGGGGGAATTAAGGATAGGCAGCAAATGCTGGCCTTGACATTGTTGCCCATATCTCATGATGGAATATTCCAGGTGTAGATCTTAAAGAGGATTGATGAATGATATGTCCAAAATATTAATTGGTCTGTTTTTAAATGCTTATCCACTGTAGAGCTGAAGTTTATTTACCTTGAAAGAACTAAAGACTCCACAATTAAACTAGGGAATTCAACAAAGGTATGGCTTATTCAAAGTTAGTTTGCTTGATCTTTAGCACAAAAATTCTTAGTGCCACAACAACTACATAAGGAATCCACTATAAACATCTAAATCACTGGTTCACATTTATTCTAGAAATCACCCATTTTTCTCTTCAAATGAACGAGGTAGCTGTGATACTTCATCCAATATGATATTGCATTTCCCTATGCACCAGAATCCAATCATAGTAAACAATTCTAGACTGAAAGAAAGCCAGCTGTCCATAGTGTTGTAGAAATAGGCAATCAACATAAAACAGCACTGAATGGGCAACAAGTTGCATGAAAAAAAACAATCAGCATTTTCTTACCTTTTAAAAAAAATTCTGGCCACCATTTGTCTGTCAAGGAGAGAAGCTGCAAATCTAGTTTTAAGAGATGGTTTAACAGTATTTGTGTCTCGGTCTTTTCCCACCCCCACCCCGAACCCGACCCCGAACCCGAACAGACTTGGTGGAAGTGCTATATGGGGGTCAGGAGTGGAAAATAAGCAGGGGGTTATGGTCATCAGTTCTCTATACTTCAAACTGTCTATTAATCACATACTCAGACTTGAAGTATTGTCAGCTATTCATCCTCAAATATGATTAGATCCATCTCTAAACTTGTCACTTAATGTTTCCAAGACATCCTTACCTGGTCTGGCCTACAAGATTCCAGAACCAGCACAATGTGATTCATTTTTAATTGTCCTCAAACAACCTCAAGCCTCAAAAAATTCGGGACACACAATAAAAACTTGCCTTATGGGAGATGGCTGTCACTGGCAAAAAGAAAAAGTTGACAGTTTACAGTGGACTTATTTCTGGCAGTGCACAATGGAACATATGAAAATGGGCAAACCAGAATGGATCCGAATTAACTCAATATTCATAACTGAAGACTTGAACCAAGGCCAAATTTGTCAATATAGTAAGTTAGTAAGTCAAAGAGCAGCTTCTCAAGTTAAAAGTTTTACTTACCTCCCATTCATCAAAAAGTCCATCAAAAAACTTCTCATTCAAGGGGAATGCACACTTCCCATCGAGGAGAACAAAGTCACTGAATTGCACGTCACCCATTGCTTCAGGCAAATAAATATCAGGTCGCCAATGTTTCAGGTATTCATGTAATTCAGCCACTCTGCAATGATAGAACAGTAAATGAAAGTACGCATCTGCATTTACATTGTACTTTTCATAACCTCGGGATAGCCTAAAGTGCTTCACAGCCAAAGTAATACATTTTGAACAGTACTCTTGCAAAGTAAGGAAATTTGGTAGATAATGAGATAAATTCCCACAATCGGTTTTTAAGTGTTGGGTAAGATATAGAATGTTAGCCATGCACAGGGAGAACTCATTTTTTTTAAAAAAAGAGTAACACGGGATTGGTTATGTCCACGAGGAAGGGAAAATCTTGTTAATATCTCATCCAAAAGATGACACCTCCAACCTCATGCTGAAGTGCTCAGGTCTCTGGAGCAGGACTGGAACCCAGTGAAGTGTTAAGAATTCAACAAAACAAATCACGCTTTCAAAAGACAGTGCCCTTTACAATCAGAAACCCCTTCTCCTTACCCTGCCAGGTTAGTTTAGCTTGGATCTAAAAACCCTGACAACTGTAAACTAAAATTGTGACGATTCTCATCATTTGCACAATTACAGCCTATTGACAGCTTTATCTACACAAAGTTAGGTACTTATAGACTTTGGTACTTGAAAGTGAATGAAGTAAAATGCACGTGCAATATAAAGAATGTGTTGGGAGCTTACTGCACCATCTTGATTTTTAAGAATAAAATCAGTCCTTTGGCAAAGAACTTCATGTATTCAAAAACAAAAATCAAAAAAAAAATCACTGAAGGCTTAACTTCTTAATATGCTCCTTAACTTTAGGAGAGAATAATTTCAAATGCTGGAGAGGCCATACTTCCTACATTATGACAGTAGGAAATACCAGTAATTTGCTTATAAATAAAAGGATATTTTTTTCAAATTATGATCAAAAGCAATTAAATAGTCTTCAATTTTGTTACTTTTGGAGAAGAAAAATATCCAATTGAATACGTACTCAACATGAGGATGATGGTGAAAAGAAAACTAAATAGATGGTTCTTTGTATTCTGCATCAGCATGTTATACTGTAGCAGGTCTAGTAGAATGCATAGTAGACATAAGCCATTCATCTACACTGTTCTGAATGGTGTAAAATTACTTCATGGAAGATTCCTATCTCCCATATTAACTCTTTCTTGTTAGGAAGACTAGCAAATAACAAGTTATTAATGTGTTGGGTTCCAGTTCACTAGAATAGAGAACATTTCTCCAACTGCCCATACAAGATAGAAAACTTTGATTCAAGTTGGCATCAACAAGATTTTAGAAAGTAGAAATAAAAAGACAACATGCCAAGTCATTATTGTACTTCAAGTTAGATAAATTTAACAATTAATACAACTGATAATTCACCAATACTGAGCTGCTTATCAAATTAATTGTCATTAACTGGCTAAATAATCAAATTTCAGAGATTAATTTGGAAAAGACCATAACCCTGCAAGAAAATCGAAGTCAGTAACACTGGTTCCACAACCATTACATCTCAACTGCCCTTAATAATCCACTCCGTATATAATCACCCTCAATTCAAAATATACCCTTGAAACCTAAAACAGCCTTAACAAAAGCCTCACCAATCCACAGTAGAAAGATTCATACTCACTGATTGGATTCTCCCTTCATGTGCTAGCCTCTCCAGTCAGAAGACTGAACCAATCTGCACGACAGACTCAGCTTTTAAAGTGGGCTGTAAACATAGTTATAAAGCTTGTCTTGATTAATTAGGAGCCTGCCCGGGTTAACATTGTGATAATGTAGATAATCATTCGCAGTCTCCATTCTCAGGTTCCCATTTAGATATAGCAGTGTTCAAACAGTTCAAGAAGAAGCATGGTCATGTTAATTGTAAAAAAAAAGTTATATCTAATATTTTAAGCAACTTAGGAATGTTTTATGGTGGTAACTATATGTCGTTCTTCTATGTCGATGGCATAATCTGTTGGCTCTCTTCCAGCATCATAAAACTGCTTCACTGACACTGTCAACAATAAAAACCTAGAACTTTGGCCAGCAAAAAGGATGTAAATTTAGGTTTGTGTAGCTTGAAATGATGGTTAGAACAAATGCTATGAGAGATGCTTAAAACAGTGATTTAGTTTTCATTTGCCGAAAGAATTGTAAATACTTATCCTGTTTCTGCTACAATAAACTGCCAAAAGAAGATAAATCAGGCAGACCCCATGTGTTGGTCCCTTGACATGGTTATTGAGATATGGTGGGCTGGAAATAGCTGCCCAAATAAACCAGCAGCAATCTTATCCTTCACGTACAGCCAATTCAAACCCTTAAAACTGACTTTAAAAACTCAGGCTGTCCCAGATTGATTTAGTCTTCTGATTGGCTAACTAGAATAATAGGTCTCTTTGGCTATGCTTTTGTTAATTTTGCTTGAGGATTAAGCACGTCTTTGAACTGAGCATGATTTGTCATTGATGGTTCCTCAAAATTGAGGATGTTTCTCAGACTAGATGATGGAGAAGCCTAATGTTAGATCCACGAGATTTTCTAGTGTTGGGAGATGTTACTGCATGAAGAAGTGGAACTTGTGGCCCTGGGTTGGTTTCTTCCTCCTTTCTCTGCCACCGCTGCTACACCTCATGGTTGCGTTTTGATGAATCAGGAAGTGCCATTGCTGAGTGGTCAGCAGCTTTCTCCTCCCAGTGAGTGGCTCTTGTGCTTTAGCTTGACCTTGAGCATATCTTTATACCTTTCCCTTAGGCTGCTCTTTGAATGCTGACCAATGCAGAGCTAGGACAGAGAACCTGCTGAGGGAGGCAGTTTTCGGGCATCCAAATGCAATACACATCCGCTGGAGTTGGTTCTTCAGGGATAGGCCTTCCATGATGGTAGACACAGCCTCATGGAGAATGCTTACATTAGTGCAGTGGTCCTCCCATTCGATCCCCAAGATTCTACATGGGCATTGCTGGCAGAAGCTCTCAAGCATGTTAATGTGACAGTGGTAGACAGTCCAGATTTTGTTGCACTAGAGGGGGATGGTCAACACAACAGTCAATAGACCAGGACAATCATTGACTTCCAGAGGTCCCTGTTGTCAAAGACACTTTGTTGCAGCTTGAGGAAGGCAACACTTGCACAGTTGATTCAGCACTGGCCTTCTTAATTGCTGATAGTCCCTTGGGAGAGGTGGCTGCGAGATCTGGGAAGTATGCACATATTCCAGAGCCACCCCTTCTACTTAGTGCAGGGGATTCCAATGGGTCAGGGAGGGTTGGTGCAGGACCTTTGTTTTGGTGACATTTAAAGACAGGCTGAGCATCATAAATGACGTATTGAAGAGGGTGAATGTCTTTTGTACGTCCTGTGCAGAATTCATCTTGCAGCAATCATCTGAAAACTGAAGGATGTGGATGTCCATGGTGGTGAGTTTTTTTTCACTCAGAAGCAAGCAAGGTTGAAGAGCTTCCTGACTAGGATATTAGATGCTGATACCAGGTGGCAGATCATCTTAGATTTGGTGAATGATGACCCTCAGATAGATGAAGAAGAAGGAGGAACAATAACACAACCTGATTTGACTCTGGTCTGGATGTAAACGCTGCCAGTTTCAGATCCGCCTCATGATAGTAGCAGCCATAGAATCATAGAAATGCGCAGCACGGAAACAAACTCTTCAGACCCACACATCCATGCTGACTACACATTCTAAATTACTCTAGTCCCATTTGCCAGCATTTGGCCCATATCCCTCTAAACTCTTCCTATTCATATGCCCACCCAGATGCCTTTCAAATGTTGTAATTGTACCAATTTCCATCACCTCCTCTGGCAGTTCATTCCATACATGCACCACCCTCTGCGTGAAAAAGGTGCCCCTTAGGTACCTTTTAAATCATTCCTCTATCACATTAAATCTATGCTATGTAGTTTTGGAACTCCCCTACCCAGGGAAAAAGACCTTGACTATTCACCTTATCCATGCCCCTCATGATTTCATAAACTTCTATAAGGTCACCCCTCAGCCTCCGACACTCCAGGGAAAATAGCCCCAGCCTATTTAGCTTCTCCCCATAGCCAAACCCTCCAATTCCGGCAACATCCTTGTAAATTTTTTCTGAAAGCTCTTAAGTTTCACAATATCTTTCCTATAGCAGCACGACCAGAATTGAATGCAGTATTCCAAAAGTGGCCTAACCAATGTCCTGTACAGCTGCAACATAACCTCCCAACTCCTATACTCAATGCACTGACTAATAAAGGCAAGTGTACTAAATGCCTTCTTCACCCGTTCTGAGGAAGGGTCACCGGATCTGAAACATTAACTCTGTTTTTCCCTTCACAGGTGCTGCCTGACCTGCTGAGCTTTTCCAGCAACTTTGTTTTTCTTCACTATCCTGTCTACCTGTGACTCCACTTTCAAGGAACTATGAACCTGTGTCCCAAGGTTTCTTTGTTTGGCAACACTCCCCAGAACCTTACCATTAAGTGTATAAATCCTGCCCTGATTTGCCTTACAAAATACAGCTGGATTTTTAGGATGGTGACAACCTTCAACGGGCAATCAAAGCTCTGGAGGACGATCCTGTGATTATCCATTGTTGAGGATGGTTATAGATACTTGCTAATCTACCTGTTCACAGATGTTATGACACACCTCTGGAACAAGTGGGACGTGGACCCGGGCCTCCTTCCCCAGGGGTAAGGAAATTACTACTAGGCCACAAGAGCCTTGTGTGCATGGCTATATACAAAGTGGGTCACTGAGTGTTGTTGAGTTGCATGAATTGTAGAAATTATGTTACTGACTTTTACAAGTTTGCAAATTGGCTTCTCCAAGCTAAATCAGTTGTTTCTGCTCTTCCTAGTCACCTCCCATTTCCCTTCCTTTTTGCTGTCAATGTCAGCTGCCGATTTAAGTTTATTCAGGTCTGCTCATGGCTTAAATTAGATGAAATAAAGCAGGCATTGCAGTGGGTTTATCTGGCAGAATAAACAGGACGCCATTCTAAATGGCATCACCCTCAGCACAATTTCTCTAGGAGATCTTAATGTATTGACACA